CCGTTAGATTTCTGTCTGCTCTGCTGCTTGCCTCACCTGGGACTGCACCATCAGGCTACCATAGTTGCAGGTTTTCCTTTCCATTTAGTACCTATTTTGATATTTTTATTGGTAATGCCACTGGGCAGTAGTTACCTCTGTCTGTTAGAAATCAAGTCAGTCCTCCTGGCAGCACAACTACTGCTTCTTCTGGCCAACTCACTCTTGTAAAACTTTCCTGTTGATGGAGCCAGGTGGAGATTGGTGGGAGTGTGATATGGGAGTATTTCTAGGTAAGAAGATTGCAAACTCTCTGTGTGTCTAACTTTAAGTTCTAGCAGCTCTTCATGAATTAAATATTTATCAAAATTTTTGTTTGCCTTTGGTTGATTTCTACATCCCAGAATTTTTTTTTGACAACTTTGTTCAGTTTTATACTTGTTTTTCAAGGAGATTTGCTGACCTCTACAGCAAACAGCTAGAAGCCCTGCTATAGCTAGAAGCCCACTGCTGTTGTTATTTATTTATAAAACTTTTCTTAAAAGATTACACAAATATCCCTTATTATAATTTTAGGAAGATCAGCATTTCATAGCTTGGCTTTTTTAAACCAAAGCATCTTACAGAAACAACATAATTTTTATTTTTAAAATACAATTTGAACTTTTGATTTTTAAAGACAGTCAATCATTTAAGTATGTTCAGTCTAATTATATAAACATGATTTCTTAGTAGAGGACAAATTTTTTTTCAGGTGGCCAGACCTGTATTCAGGAACTGTCCAAGCTGTTCTAAAAGCTAAGACATTGGAAGTCTTGATTATTTAAAAAGGTGTTTCACACAAGCATTATGCATTTTATTTTATTAGAATATAACTTTAAATGTTAATGTAAGTGTTTTTATTTTGTTTGAGGAAAAATGAATATTAAAATGATGTAGATTACCGAAGTATTTTTGAAGTGCTTGAGCTTTTATTTTAATTTACATTTATTTAAATTATTTTCCTTTAATTTGTCTTGAAAACCAATATATTGGTAGTTCTAATTGCTGTATATACATAGACTTTTTACTCTTTCAGACTTTTCTTGCCCTTGGTTATAATCAGTTGTCAGATGTTCCTAAATATTTAGACACTAGTCAGTGATATTTTTACCATGCTGTAAACTCTATAGGAGCTTCTTGTTTTTAGATATTTAAATTGGGCTTTGTTATAGGGTATTATAAGGCCACATTTTGGATGTCCAGGTGCTATTATCCTGTCTGTTTAGATATCAGTGGGTTTGTATAGTATTAGCCAACTAAGTGCATATTATATGTCAGACACTGTTTTGATCAGTTTTTTCATTGAAGAATCACAGTCAATCTGAGGCAGATGCGATCATTAGTCTCAGTTATCAGATGAGGAAACAGACATGAAATGGTTAAGTGGTTTGCCAACAAAGCTCACAGCTACAAAGTAGTAGAGCAAACCTTGACTCAAATCTTAACTGCAGATCCCAAGCCTGCTCTTATCTACTGGCTAAATGGAACGAGCAAAAGATGACTTGTAGGAATGAAGTCCAAGTCTTTACCAAGCAGCATCAAATGAGCAGAGTTGCATTGTGATATGAAGCAACACATCTGTTTAGAAAATGGGCCCCTGAACTTTAAGTGTGCCTGTATCGCTCAGATATATGTTATACTCTGATATGGTTATCCTTCTGAGGCTTTGTAAAGGTTAGGCCATAGACCTGTAAGGAAGAGGTCTTGTCTGTAGGATGAAGCCATTCCTCATGAGAGTTACCAACTCCTCAAGTTACTGAACTACCAGGGGTTAGGAGTCTTGGAGAACACTGTTGGGTAGTGGTTGTGGAGTGCTTCCATCCACCATGCAGGACCAGAAAGGGAAGGCCTAGCCAGGATCTCTTCCTAGTGTCCCACATGACTCAAATGGGTCTGGGAGCTCCAGTATTGTAACAATCTGAGTCTTTAAGAGCGCTGTTGCTCTGTGTGTTTGTTCCACTTTCAGTGTTTCCAGGCTTTCAGCAGCATCTTGTTTGAGTAATCCATTCTACCTCAGCTACAGGAAGCTCAGGCTCAAGTGTTTGAAGTTGTCGGAGTTTCACCCTGAGTATAAAAGTGGCCATGGTAATCTTCAAGGCCCACCAAGGGGAGAGTGACTCTTGGAGAGGGATGGAGGCTGCATGGCTGAACTGACTCTACCCTTTATGAGTGTTCCATGTAATGCCATCCTTAAAGTCTAGGTTTCATGTTATTAAAGAAGGTAACATGTCTTCATAGATTTGGTTACTGCTCTTCACTCCTTGGTTATTATGTAAGTAATCCAAGAAGAATTTAGACTAAATTTAGCTTTTTATTTATTTATTTAAAAATTTATTTTTTAATCAATCTTTTTTGGGGGGGTAATTAGGTTTTTATTTAATTTATTTATTTTAATGGAGGTACTAGGGATTGACTCCAGGACCTTGTGCATGCTAAGCCTGTGCTCTACCACTGAGCTATACCTTCCCTGCTAAATTTAGCCTTTTAAATTCCAACCCTCTAAACAGTAATTATTTTAGTCCAGGATAATTCTAAAATTCTTTTGCATTTCCTGTGCACATTTTCCATGCTCATTTCCCTTTAGGGTGTTCTGCCTCAACATGTTCTCTGCACACTTGGATTTCTCTTGCCATTCTGATCTCTGCTTAAAGACCACCTCTCTACCAAGGCTTTCCCTTTCACCAAATCTTAATTATTACCACAATCCCTCCAAAATCACATTACCCTGTTTTGTTTTATGCACAGCACTTATTATTATCTGGATTATCCTGTTTACTTATTTGTTCTGTGTATTTATTGGCTGTTTCCTGCACTGGGAAATAAGTTCCGTGGAATCAGGGACTTGGTTTTTCTTAGAGATAGAGATCTCCTAACTATATCCGGAACTGTTCCTGGTAGACACATAAGAGATGATCAGTAGATATGTGCTGAATAAATACTACTTAAAGGAAGGGAAGGGAAGCCAGAATCAAGTTGTACAGGAGGATTTCCAATAGGCAATAACACATCTGGTCTGTGTTAGCACCCAGGGTCTGGTGAGTAACAGGAATGAGGGGTGGGGAGAGCTGGAGAAAAGGGAGCTCAGGCTCTGTGTATGAGAATCAGGACACCAGGTTGTGGCACTCAGGGAGCCACACACTAGCCTGCACCCAGCGGGTAACTTAGCTCTTGCCACACACACACACACACACACATCCATCCATCCATCTCCACACCCATTGTCACTCCTACAAGTGGAACTGTCCCTCCCGTTTCGTGTGGGTGGTGTGTGCACTTGGGTACAGACATGAATATTTTGGCGTTGGGTGGTAGAGGCAACAGGGACAGCCACTCATAATTCTTCCCCCAGACAGCTCTGAGTTCAGCTTTTCCTTGGACAGGCTGAGAAAAGAAGAAGCTAGCAGAAGAAGCGAGGCAGTCCCTAGTCCAAATCCAGCCTATGGGCTTGTTTTATTTGGCCCACACCATGTTTTTAAAAAATTGTGCCAACATTTAAATTTAGGAGGTTTTACATTAAAAAATCTGGATTTCTAGGTTATTTTGACAAACGGAAAGACCTGGCATGCTGAACCTGCATTCCCACATGGTACAATTGGCTGGAACAGAGTAGCAAGCACAGCCTCGGCTGGGCACACTCACCAGGTCCCCACCGTCCCTGACACCTGCTGGTGCATTTAACTGGCCTCACCCCTTCAGGTCACCTGCCTGCTCTTCATAGATAATTGCCTTAGTCTGTTTGGGTTGCTATAACAAAATTCCACAGATTGGGTAGCTGATATACAACAGAAGTCTATCTCTCACAGTTCTGGAGGATGGAAGTCTGAGACCATGTGGAGGTCTCAGGCCCTCTCTTATGAGGCCCCTCTTCCAGGTTGCCGACTTCTCACTGTGTCCTCACCTGGCAGAAAGGGGTGAGCAGGCCCTCTGGAGCCTCTTTTATAAGGGCATTAATCTCATCATGAGGGCTCCACCCTCATGACCTAAGCACTCCCCAAAGGCCCTACCTCCTAATACGATCACACCGGGCATTAGGACTTCGACATATGAACTTGGATGGGTGACACAAATGTTCAGATTATAGCAGTATTTGAGTTTGCAGTCTTTTGCATAATGGGTAATGCACAATGTAAGCAACTGAAAAACTTATCAACAGTAATTGTTTTCCTGTTGGTAGGATTTGTGCATAGATCACTCACTGCATAGAAGCCTTCTCCCCATTGCTTGCCAAGTGATGTCCTCATCCTTAACCAGGCAGCAGTCTGACCTGTATCTTACATCCAGTCATTCTCTTATAAAGGCAGTGGAGTTCCATTTTATGGGCTTTTAAATTGTGAAAGCAGCTCCATAAGCTTGGAAGAGACAGGAGACAAACAGAGAAACAGAGAGACTAAGTGAAAGACAGACAGACAGACAGACAGACAGACAGAAGCAGTACAATTTAAATAGTGCCAGCCATGCCCCTTTCCCACCCCACCCTCTACCCCATCCACTCACTGGACATGTGCCCATTGGCCCTGGACACAGGCCTGAAACAATCAACATGTTGGCAAAATTTATGTTAAAAAGGTATGTGAGTGATTTTGGTCCCCTTGCCATTGACAAAGGAGAGTGGGATACTTTGTTCAGATGGTCAGGCTTCTAAATTTCATAGACATCCTGGAGGAAAAACAAGAATAATTATAGGCCAAAGGAAGTACTAGCTAAAGAAGCGTTCAAGGGACTGATCAGATGTATCTGCAGTGTGTATTGAGCGCCGTACTACACCTGACTGCACTACTTTATCAATAGTTTCTTCTCACCAACTTCTCATGTTTGGGTTATTAATTTTATTCCAAAATAGGAATCTAGCTGTATCTTAATTTAATACCTTAAAATTGAAAACAGACCTTTATTTTAAAGGAGTAAAAACATATTAAGTATTTTAATTTTTTCAAAGTAAACTCATGCTGGCAATCCTGGGCCAACTCTGATCGTTACAGGAGCATCCGATACTTGGACAACCCTTTTTTGTACTTCATCCTTGCAAGACAAATGAATTCATGACTCCTGTGGTAAAGAATTCTCGAAAAATCAATAGGTAAGAAACACCATCAAGATATATTGGCTTTCACTCTTATTTTAAAAGTGTAAATCTTTTTATGTGATTCTAAAAGCTAAGCTAAAAAAGAAATATTCTTTGTAATAATAATAATAGCTAACACATATTGATTTTGTATGGTGTGCTAGGCACTGGTCTAAGTATTTCGGCTATATTAATGCACTGGATTTTTATAATACCCCTGTGAGCTAAGTACCATTATTTTACCTGATATACAGAAAAGGATGCTAAAGCACAGAGGGTTTAAATGACTTGGCCAAGGTCACACAGCTAGTTAAGCGGTAGAACTAGGATTTGAACCCAGGCCATTTTGCCTCAGAGCCGTATGCTTAACCACTGCACTCTACTACCTTAGCAAATGCTGTAAGTTGTGTCACATTAAAATCATCAATGGAATTCAGGAGCCCAGAGCCTGGACCTTCCCTTCAACAACTTTAGTGAAGGATTGTCAGTCGCTTTGGTCCTCGAGTCCCCATCAAGCAGTGGGCTGGCATTTGGAAATGGTGGGATCCCAGGTGGTGGGCACACATCTTGGAAGAAAGCCTCATTTCTACGATTGCTAGTAACTGACTTTCTACTCTCCTCCAACTACAACCGAAACTGTGTTCATTTGTTTCCCAGGAACGTCAACTACATCACATCATGGCTGAGCATCGTAGGGCCAGCTGTTGGGCTGAATGTGCCTCTTAGTTATGCCAGAGCAGCCTCTCAGGATGAATGAAATGTCAGTGGACAAGGTGAAAAGAGAAGCCTGTGCTGCATGTGTTGCTGTCACAAAGATCCAGGTGTCTCTGCTGCACTTAGAGGTGTCATCCCTGCTGGCCCCGCCATGTATTAAGTCTGCTTTCATCTTTAGCTGGCTGGACACTGACTTCTTTGTTTAGTTTTCCAACCAACCAGCTCCTAATTATTTAGGAAACATTTGATTTTGCTACAATAATCCTCACCCAACTACAGGCCTGGGCGGTTTTATTTTAGAATTGATGTTCTTGAAACAAGTCTTTACTGCTCAGTTAACCTTTTATTCTCTTGGCTTTTGGTTTATTCTTGTTCTTCTGATTCTTTTTTTGAGCCAAAGAGCTTAGAAGAATGCTGGAAGTTTACGTGGCCAGCCCTGGTTTTAACAGGACCAATATTGTGCGAGATTTCAGCTCACCGACGTTTTGACATGGATGTTTGCCCTTGGAAGCAAATGTCTGCAGCAGCTGATACGCTGCATGTTTAGAAGAAACACTGGAAAGACACAAATCACTATAAATAGCAAAAATGAATTTAACTGGGTCATAGAAATACTGACGTCATCAGGGCATCTCCAGGTCATTCTTTCATGCCTCTGAGACTCATGCTTTTCATCTTTAATAAGAGAATAAGAAGCTATCTCATAGTGTTGCTGTGAGAAGCACATGAGATGCTTAGTGAGAGAGAAAATATCGTAAAGTATTATACAAATATTCATTAAATGCTCACTTTCTTGTATTTGATTTTTAGTTGCTCATTCTGTCAGTAGCCAGTAAGTTTAATAGCCAGTAAGGTATTAAGGTGACTCTAATAGGAAGAATTTTCAGTTTAGAGTTGCTTGCTTTTCATTTTAACTTGCTAGGGTCTGAAACTAAGAGAAAAATGTAGTTGCCTCTTTAGAGCATCTGAATTAGTGTCTGTCAGTGAGGGATGTACCCTAGAGTCCCCTGAGACTCTTACAATTCAGACACTGGGGCCACTGGCCGAAACAGCTTCTCTGGGGTGATTCTGATGCATATGTTCTCACAGAAGCTCTGGTCTGGATAAACCCTTCGAGCTGCATTTATGTGTATTGTTTTGGTCTCCCAACAGGCCTTTTCCAGTTCTGTGCACAGCTCCGGCAAGCTGGACCTAACTTCCTAACGTTGTCTGGGCATCGCCCCAAGACTCTGAATAGTAAGAAAGTCTAAGAGGTGTTTGCTCACGAGGCGGCCCACTTGGGGGAAGCAGTGGGGATGAGAGGATTATCTGCGGGCAAATTGCAGACATCTGTGACAGCCCTGCCAGTGTCTGGGTTAAGGGCTAAACTCTCACACAGAGAGCAGAAGTAGAGAAAGGGTTAATTCAAACTGCTAGAAAAGCTAAAAGTAAATTTTAAAATGCTGAGCTGCACGTATTCATGCTGGGATGAGAGACTGCCTACATGCTTGCTGGGCATTTTGGTATTTACCACTTAACATCTTTTCAACTTCTGCAAGGGATTTTTCCCCCCACTCCTCTAATGTAAACACAGATTTCTCAGCAAGTCATTTCTCAAGCCATGTCATTTCCGGGATAAAAAAAAATGTAATAATGTATTATCTGGATGATGTACTCGTCTGGAAATATTAGTTATCCTTCGCTTACAGATTTTGAAATGATAGAATCCTGTCATTTTGGGGCCAGTGTGTAGTGGCCCAAAATGATAGAACTTTTTTTTTTTAAGTTAAGAAAAAGGTTTTTTTCTGATTGCTAAAGACCTAAAAATTCATCAGTGGCAGAAAAAAGTTCTGAAGAGCTCCCTCCCCAGATAGATCTCTCTCCTCAAACAGCTCTATTCCTTTTGAGAATTTTTTCACTTAAAAAAATTAAATTTTGGTTGATAAAAATTTCCATTTTTTAAGACTGCAGTTATATAACAGACTGTTTTCCCAACAGTCATAAGACATTAGAAAATATTTTGTTTTGTCAAAGTAACAGTTCTTTCTCTATAACGTGAAGATCTTTCCTCAGGGTTTCCTCTCCTGCTAATACAATGCGAAGCCCCTTCGGTCAGAAACAAAGCTGGTTAAAGCTGCTACCAGCCAGTCTTCTAAACTCTGCTCTCGTGTGACTTTGGAAAAACAGCTTCGCCTCTTTGGTTCTCTGTTTCCATGCCTGCACAGTGAGGAGGTTCAGCCACGCGACTCATGAGGCCCACCCCGATTCTTGGGTCTGGGAAATAGGGAGAAGTCTAGAGAGCTAGACTATGAGGCTGGTTTGCCTCTATCTTTGTCTGATTTTCTTTATGTCTTTTAGTATGTTATCACTTCTGTTTTTAAAAGTTCCTAATATCAACCCCACTCACCCTACAAAGGCATAGACATCAAAATGGTATGTGAGTCTGAATGCACTTCATAACTAACAGTGCTGTGTGGAGTTGGGGGAGAGTGGACAATCGGCCCTGCTCCTGTGACAGAGCGTACCTGCTCCCTCCCACCTCAGTTCAGGCCCAATTCCACCCCAGGCGAGTGGGCCCGAGGTCTTTTCTGCCCACAGCCTCCTCTGACCATCTGACTGTTGCTCAGGCTGGTTTCCACCTGGAAATGCTTCCTTCCTCATCTCTCTCCCCAAGGTTCAACCTGGTCTACATGACTCACTCTTTTACAAAGCCATCTCTGACTCCCACAGCCCCTCCTGGTGAACCTCTTCCTTCATACTCACTTTACTTAGGCAGAGTAGCATTTAATTGTCTCCTTTTCACTCTGGATTTGATGGAGAGTAAATAAATTACTGACCCACTTTTTGGAGGGTATGTTATAAGGTGGCATGCATGGAAGAGTCGCTGTCTGCCCCTTGTAAGTCATCCATGGAAGCTTCTTGGTCTGGGGACCGGAGTGGGTGTGTGAGCCAGTTCGCTGAGTGACTAGAAAGGCCAGAGGCTAGCTTACAAGCTGGAGGTTAAAAAATGAAGCTACTCTCCCCCTCCAAAAAGAATGAAATAGAAAAAAAAGTCAGTCGTGGGTTTTTGCATCCATTTCTCCCGAAATACAGTTTTTATTCATGTTCTCAAGATATTAGGCAATGGCATCTGTGTTGCCAATAACAGCTCTTACAGAGCTCAGAGCGCTGATATTGCAGTGAGTTGGATTTTTTTTAGGATTAAAACTTGAAAATAAGGATATGCACATATGCACTTCAGTGGATACTTACTGAGTGCCCCCTTTTTCTGAGCTCTAGGCTTGGTGGCAGTGGCAGCGGCAGCGAACAGAGAGCCCTGACTCTGGTTCATAAGGATGCCCAGGTCCAGTGGAGAAGACGGACAAGAAGATGCAGGGACGGTGGGATGTGTGCTGTGGCAGAGGTTCGGAAGGCAAGCAGCAGGGGAAGTTCACGGAAGAGGAATGTGAAAGGAGTGAAACTCTTAGGATTTAGCCAGGTCAGGAATGGAGCAGATACCTTGAAGGTGTGTATGCGGAAGTGGTAAAGAGTGAGGCTGGCTATCAGGACCAGAGCCAGGTCTGGGGAGCCTTTATTGCTACACTGAGGATTAGTATTTGGCCTGAAAACCACAAAGAGCCGCTGAGGGAATTCAAGTAGAGCAGTTAGAGTGATCACATTTGCATTTTAGAAAGAACTTGTATCTTTAAAGTGACTAATCACAGACACTTTCTTGGTTTTTTCACCAACACATACTGGCCCACATGCTTTAGAAGGTACAGGAGTGCAGAAAGGGCTGGGAGTAGGCCAAGGACAATTTTTTATTCTTGCCTAGGGCCTTCCAAAGCAAAACCTGCCAGTGTCTGAAAAGCCTGAGTCCCAGTTTACTGTGTTACCTGGGGCGAGTCACTGCACCTCTGTGAGCCTCTGTTTCCTATATATTAAGTGGAAGAAGGGATATTAATTCAAGTAAAATCAATTTATTGGTTTATGACCAGTATTTATCTTTTTTAATGAAATAGAATGTGTTTGGGGAAAAATCCCATTTGTTTCTCCTTTACTCTCACAATACTGTCATACTCACCACACGCCTGACACTAAGTGTTGTGGGTTTTCCATATATCAGACAAGTCTGCAACACCTGCTGGGTGTTCTACAATTAAGTTCAGTTCTCACACTATCTACTTGGAGTTTTAGCATCAGATCCATAAGACTTCCCCATTTAAGATACCAGTTGCAAGTCCAAGGTTGTCACCTATATTTTTAACTGACCAGCCATAAATTGGGGTTCCCATGAACCCCACCTTGGGTTCAGTAATTTGCTAGAATGGTTCATAGTACTCAGGGAAACACTTACTTATGCTTACCAGTTTGTTATATAACAAAGGATATGATCAAGGATACGGATAAAGAGCTACATAGGGCAGGGTCCAGGAGGGTCCCAAGTGCAAGAACTTCTGTCCCCAAGGAAGTGGGGTACACCACCCTCCTGGAATGCAGACGTGTTCACCAATCTGGAAGCTCTCTGAACCACATACTTTTGGAATTTTTATGGAGGCTTCATCATGTAGAAATGATCAATCATTAACTCCAATTCTAGCCCTGCTCCCCTTCCCCAATGATGAGGGATGGGGCTGAAAGTTCCAAGCTTTTGATCCAGAGCTTGGTCTTTCTGGTGACCAGCCCCCATCCTGAAGCTATTCAGGAGCCCGCCCAGAGTCACCTCATTAGAACAAAAGCTACTACTATCACCCAGGAAATTCTGTTAGGAACTGGGGTCAAAGACCAAATATTGGAACAAAAGATACTCCTTATAATCTCATCACTAAGGAAATTTCAAGGGTTTTAGGAGTTCTGTGCCAGGAACCTGGGGCAGAGACCAATATATGTTTTCTGTTATTTCAGAGATACATAGAAAGGAGTGCAATGCACATAGTGAAGGTATTACTGTTTTGTGAAACTTTAATTTCAAGTACATGCGTAGAAAATCTGTATTATGATGTGTGTATGTGCGCATGTGCTAGGTTGTGATGTAAGTGTATTTCTAGCTCCAGGGAGCAGTCAGAGATTTAAAAACTAATGGACAAATAAGCTCCCTTGCAATTCTAAGAATCTCTGATTCTCTTCTCATGCTGCTGACCAGTAAGTTGTTAAAGGTTGTTCTAGAAGGTATAGGAAGTACTTAACTATTATTGTGCCCATGGCACTGGGCTACTTCGATATGCACATAGGTTCTCACAGCTCTCCCTCTGGATTTCTGTAGGGCTTGTCTGTAAAAGTGATTTCACATTTTATTCTTAAATTTGATAATGTTCTTTAAAGCAGTTCTGTAATGTCAAGCCCTTGCTTTAATTTTTTTTGTGTTGTCAATATCGACACCTAGTGGTAAAAGAGCCCTATTACAAATACTCTGAATTCTAGACTGTAAGAACTTAAAGTGATCTTAGAGGTCACCAAGTCCCATTTGGTAAATTATTAAAAATGAACTCGAAACGCAATGTATTCCAACGTTCAGATGAAGTTCACATTAGAATAAATAAAGCCTCTGGCTAGGTGGTGATTTCTTGGATTACCTTGAAGTTTTTCAAATAACTAGAAATCACTGTTAGGCAGAAGTTAAACAAAGTATGCTGTGATAGGCTAACAAGAAATCATAGTTCAATAAATCTACAGCCTTTGGTGTGTTGGTATTTAGGTATGTACGCCAGATCTTCAAGGCTGAGCATGGCTATTATTTCTTTTATATCAAAACGTACCAAATAGTTTTAGGGCTTTTAGGTTGTTTCTAATTCTTCACTGTTTATTTAACATGCATTCATTGGACACTTAACTTCCTGAATGTTCAAGACCTGTGCTGAGGATATACTGTTCAGTAGGACAGACAAAGCCCTTCCCTCAGAGAACTTTCCAAATGTAATGCAGTAAGATATGTGTGCAGAAATAGTTACATCCTGTTTCTTTGGGTTACACCCTCACTAAGGGAATAAACAGGTCAAAGGATATGGAATGTCTTGAGATTTTTGATTCATGCTGCTCAATTGTTCACCAGTAAGGCTATCCCAGTTTGCATTCCCCAAAGCAGTCTGTGTTCTACCATTTCCTAAAATCTTTGAAAATAATTTTATTTTACTGTGCTTTTATTATTGATCATTTTCTCCACTGGTCTTGCTACAATTTGCATGGCTTCTCATTTTTGTTTCTTCCCAATGTGGTATATATTTCTCAGTGTGACCAGGGTTAGTTTGTAGCCTCTCTATTGTACACTTGATTACCCCACATCTTCATTTTGCCCCATGCGAGCTGACTGTCTATGTACTGGTTCGTACAGCCAGAGAGTATGGCAGTTAAACAATAAGGATTTGTATGAATTTAAAAAAATTATTATGGGAAATTTCATACAGACTCACAAGTAAAGAAGATTGTACAATGAACCTTCACATACCTGTAAGTCGGAATCAGCAACTACCAGGATTTTTGCCACATTTGCTTCATTTAACCCTTGTTTTTTACTTTATATTTGCTTAGTTTTTTTTTTAAACACAGACATTATGTCATTTGTTTTTACAGGTGCACGCTGAACATTTTTTATTTGATCTTTTCTGTTAAGTTTTACTCCAAACTTAGGTGTTAAAGTATCTTTGGGATTTGCCCTCTGCTTTTACTTCTGAGGGTGGGGTTTGTAACGTCTTTCTGATTCTGCATTTACCAGTGATATTGGGGAACTTCTCTCTAAAATGGCCCCCTGTTCTGTTATTGGGTCAGCTGGTGCCATCAAAGCAGAATGTGAAATGTGCTAGTTGCAGGTTCTGTAGCCTGGATTACCCATCCACAGATCCTCACCACTCTGAGGACATTTCATAGATGCTGTCAAACCACAGGCAGCGTCTCACGACCATTCTCAGGTGTGATTAAATTGAGTAATTATGTAATATGTGACTAAATCCGCTCACTGTTGTACAAATTTAAACAGTAGCTGGTTTCTTAGGCAGAAACTCCTTCAAAAATCTGAAAAATGTAGAGACCCCCTTTTCAGAAAAATATGTGTGTATGTGTGTGTATGCTTACAGAAAAATCAGAAAATTCTACATAGTTTCAGGAGGGGACACACACACACACACACACACACACCCCCACCCCCGCTATCCCGCTATGTTATGTCATGGGCAGGAGAAAGAGGGATATGGTGACAGGGAAAAAACTACCTAATTATAAACATAAGAAAATGTGTAAAATACAGAGTGAACGGAAGTCAACTATTGCATATACTAGCACTGAAATTTGAAGAAAATACTTGGAATATATCAAGAACTGAAGGAGGGGCAAAGTGGTCCAACTTATCTGCAAACACACGCAAAAACAGAATACCTGAAGCTGTCAAGCTACATAGAAAAAATATATATGTCTTCTCATAAACCAGATAAATAAATGCTCAAAGCTGTTGGGGGAAAAGATATGACAAAACAATCTATTTCTTGTCATTGTTTCCAAAACAGGTATTAATAGACAAAACCTGTTTCAACAAGTAACATTTCCCTCCACTGTTCTCAGCTGTGATTGACATAAAAAGTTATTTAAAATGTGGCTCACTCTGCCCACTATTGTTCAGATTTAAACATTTGCTGGTTGTAAGAGGTAAGAAAGCAGTATAATATATTTATCCACATCTAGACTTATTTGAAAATGTGGGTATGTCAGCATGCCCTTCCCTTTTAACCCAACCAAGTAACATGACCCCTTGTTCTACTTCTAATTAACTACAGTGAATGAGATTTAGAAAGCTAGACTTCAAACACAAACAAAAACTCCTACACTATGAATAGATTAGATAATTTATGTCAATAACTTATTACCACAAGTAAGGACCTGCGGAGGAAGCTGACACTTCTCAGACTGGAAAGTCTGAAGAGGTGATCTGGGGTCATGATTTCCTCTTCTCCCTCCTACAGGAGAAACTCCTTAGCATCAGAGTTGCCATTTGAAAGCTTCAGGTCCTCTGGGAAGCAATGATGACGTTCATCACATCTGGCTCGAGTTCTAAGTGCTGTATGTGAGTAGCTCCATCATTTTGAAGATACACACCACATACTAAAGTCTGAATGCGGTGGCGACTGTGTGTGTGTGTGCATATTTGGAAATATGGGTTGTCACTCTTAGGTCCCTTCAAATGTGTCACTCTAAAAATGATTTTCCCCATGAGACAACTTACACTTAAAAACATTCAGTTGTTGTATGTTTTAATACTTTGCTCTAAAACTCCTGTGGTGACATTACCATGACAATAAGCTTTAAAAATCCACTTCTTTTCCTCACACACTAATAAACATGCCATAACTTTTCCAAATAATACAGATAGAAATTGTGCTAGAAATTAGAAATGCTTAGTACAACCTATGAAGGCAATCTCCCAACTACAATATCGTAAGAAATGTAAGTTAATACTTGGATGATCCATTTAAACAGATTTTATAGGTTAAAATAAAGATTATACAAGTAGCTATTAGTGAAAATTGTGGTGTAATACGGTAATTTATGATCTTGGTCTCCTTTCTCAACTTTGTGTAAAACCAATAAAGAAATGTTAGCTACTCTGTCGACCTTGAAACAGACTCCAGGAATGTTATCTGCAGCATGATCATTATAACCAAATCCTGCCACCAGACATTTACCTGGAATGAAACATAGAAAATACATATATACAAAGATACACATTCAAATTTGCATAGCTGTCAAATTAGAACCATGTCTCTCAGCTCTATCAAAAAATAAAAGGGAAAAAAACCATAAATATATGAAGCATTGTGTATTTTCCTAATATAGTTTAAAGTTTTTTGCAGAACATCACTAACTTGTATGTTTCAACATTTCCATATAAACATACAGAAAATTTACTAATCATGTTATACCTTCCCTTCAAAAAGTGCAAAACAAAAACTTATTAAATACCCAGCATAAATTTACACCATATCAGGCTAAGTAGCTGCCTGTAAGGCAGTGTTTGCTATGTTGCTCTGAGGTGGATCTCCTACAGGAACGGTTTAATTTAGAGGATGGACTCCTTCTGGTTTCAGCTGTGTTGATTACTTGGGGAAATTATTTGAAAAATACTGAAGAGCTACCTTTTTTGGGCTTCTGGTTTATAAAATGAGGTGGCTGGAAAAGAGCAGGAGTATCCCCATCAATGGGATGGCTACATAAAGACTGCCTTAGAGCTCATGGAAAAGACAGATTTCTCCCAGAAATACCACAAAGATGGCTTCCCAGAAGATCAGGAGTACTTGTATAATCTAACAAATGCCTTAGGGATTCTGATGTTCTCGATTTGGGAACCACAGGACTAAATGATCTCCAGATTCTTTCTGCACTAACAATTTCTGATCTGTTTGGGGTTTGCTAGGCAAATACAAGATGTAACACAAATTAATTACTCATTCACAATTTTTTAAACCTTTTAATCAACAAGTAATTTAAGACTCACAAGAAATTGCAAAAACTATCATTTGTATACTTCACCCAACCTTGCCTTAATGATAACATATTTGATAACCAGAGTATATTCTCAAAACCAGTCAATTGACATTTATAACACTATTAACTAAACTACAGATTTACTTGTATTTCAATTTTTATGCTCTTTTTGGTATACAGCACTTTGAAATTCCATCACAAGTATTGATTTGTGTAAACGTTACCACAATCAGGACAGAACTGCTCAACACCACAAAGACACCCCCTGGTGCTACCCTTTTGTAGTTCGACTACCATCCTTCGTCCATAGCAACTACCCATCTCTTCTCCGTTGCTGTAATTTTTTTCAAGAATTTTATATAAATAAAATGTTACAGGACCTATGTAACCTTTTCAGTTTGTCTTTTTGTGCTTAGCATACCACTAAGAAACATCAAAGTTGTTGCTTGCAACAAGTGTCTTTTATGACTGAGTAGCATTTCACTTACGGATGTAACCACAGTTTACCTGTTTGCCCACTGAAAGACATTTAGGTTGCTTCTAGTTCTTGACTATCATAAATAAAGTTGCCATGAACACGTGTGTACAGGATTTTGTGTGGGCAGACATTTCATTTTGGTATGATAACTACCCAGGAGTGCAATTGCTGGATCTTAAGTATATGTTAACTCTCTAAGGAACTGTCAAACTTTGCCAGAGTGACTGTACCATTTCTTAGTCCCACCAACAATCTAGTTGCTCCAGTCTCACCAGTGCTTGATATTGTCAGTATTTTAAATTTTAGTCGTTAGGTAGGTGTATACTGGTATCATCTCCTTATGATTTTAACTTACATTTTTCTAATGGCTAATGATGTTAATCATCTTTTCATGTGCTTGTCATCTCTTCAGTGAAGTATTTATTCATTCGCCCATTTTGTAATAGGATTGTTTTCTTAGTTTTGAGATTAGGGAGTTCTTCATATATTTTGGATACAGGTCTTTTATTGGATATATAATTTGCAAATATTTTCTCCCAGTCTGTAGTCTGTTTTTTCATCTTCTTGACAAGATATCTCACAGAGCAAAAGATTTTTATTTTAAGTCCACTTTATCCTTTGTGTGTGTGTGGAATGTGCTTTTAAGTGTGATGTCTTAGAATTCTTCACCTGACCCTGCCATGAAGCTGTTGTTTTCTTCTAGTTTTTACAGCTTTACTTTTTATATTCAGATATATTATCCATTGAGTTAGTTTTTGTATAATGTGTGAAATTTAGATTGAAGTCCATTTTTTTGCAAATGGAAGTCCACACAATTTATTGAAAAAACTGTCTTCCGTTGAACTGCTTTTGTATGTCAAGTCAGTTGGCCATACCTGTATATTTATGGAGTCTATTTTCCTATTTTATTGATCTGTGTCTGTCCCTCCAATACACCATTTTGTTTACTGTAGCTACAAATTATCTTACAACCAGTTTGTGATTCCTCTACCTTTATTCTTCATTTTCAGTATTGTACTGGCTATTCTAGTCCTTTTGCCTTTCCGTAATTTTAGAATTAACTTTTCTACTTCTACCAAAAAGAGCTGCTGGGAATTTGCTTAAATTTTGCAGCCATGGTGAGTGCCTCATTTTTTCTTCCTCTATAGCAGCGCCAGGCAGAACTTTGAGATGGATCCAAAAATGAAGGGGCTCTGGTCACAAAGTGTGAGGGAGTAGGGGTTGGGATGGTGGGAAGGCTGAGGGAACTTAAATCAGGCTTGAACACTTTTGGGTCTGAGGCGTCTGTGGTAGATTTATGGGTCAGTCAGTTGTCACAGGACGGGGGCATCCTGGGTGTACCAAGGAGACAAGTGCAAGCCAGCCTTCATCGCAGGATGCCTTAACTCCTTACAGGAAAGTTCATCCTTCGCAGCAGGAGTTAGACATGCCCAGAATGGATGTGGTCTCTGGCCCTCCTCCCTCGTGCACACCCTGTAGGTCCACCCCACCCACTGGCAGTTTCCTGTCCCTGCTTTTAATCCTCAGGCCGCTGCCCTCCCCATGTCTGAGCCTGGGGTGAAACCACATATCCCCATGCAGCCTCTTCTGGTGGGTCAGGTGGAGGGTCAGTTATGACCATCTGGAAGCATCTGGTCAGCCTTTGGAAATGGCTTAATCAGTAACTCCAACTACAAGCACCAGGAAGCGTTGGGATGGAAAGACAAACTATGTCTAATTACCACATACAAATGTACCTAGTTAACATGTGTATCTTAATGTCAAATATATTTCAATTAAAAAAAAAGAGCCAATCTGTCTCTACCTTTTTTGTGACAAGTATAAGCACAAGTGTGAATGTGGGATCACTGGTTTAAGGTAGGACAGCAGGTGACATGCCAGGGGGGGACCTGAAGCTGGATGGGGAATGCAGGTTTGAGCAAGTGAGGCCAGCTTTTAGGAGCAGCCAGGGAACACACAACACACAAGGTCTCCTATGTCAAGATCAAATTCTGGTCTTTATCTTCTAGAAGATGGGAAGCCAAAAAGTTCTATCTTCCAAAGATTCTAACATGACACAACGTTAGACTGATCAGAGCAAATTAACTCATACCTATTAATGCTGCCAAAAGCAGTTCCTCACTAACTTAAGATTTTAGATTGATTTTTACCATTTTTCCCTAAGGAAATTTTGAAACAACTATTTGTGGCACGGGGCCCCTCTGTACCCAACCAACACCCAGCTTCAATCATCAGAACTATTCAAACTATCTGGACCATTTCTACCTAGTCACTTCCATTACTTTGTGTGCCTTGAAGTAAACCTCAAGGTCAAAATCTAGGTTACTGATAAGCTCTGGACAAAGATTTGCACCTAGATTAACTTTCCATAACTCATCTCCCTTACTCCTCTTGCCTTAATTTGCCAGGCATACATGTCCATTAACTCAATTGTGTAATGCTTAAGTTTTGCTATCATATACATACTTAAAACATGGGCCCTGACCTTGAGCTAACTGAAAACCACCAGAGCAGGGAGCAACTTGAGCACCCTATGTATCATACTGGGTCCCTAAATGGATCCAAGAATGTACATTGCCCAGCGTTCCCAAGATGATACCCACTAGAAGCTGAGTTTGAGACCCTCTACACAGGAATACTATACATTTAGCTATTCCATATTTTACCCATAGTTTTGTTTACTCCATGGAGAAGGGAAAAACTTACCAATCCCACTTACTTTAGAAAATTCTGAACTGTTTTCCCAATCTCCTAAAATTGGTAAAGCATACAGTGCATCTCCATGGTAACAAAAATAAGACACAGAATGTATTTTTGGCATATGAAAATTTATTACTATTGTGCTTTCACCATCAAAACTTATGATCTTGGTCTTTCCTTCTTGCCTTTGTATAAAGCCAAAAGAGAGACATTGGCTACTTTGACCACCTTAAAGCGGACTCCAGGAATGTCACCAACAGCATGACCTTTACGACCAAATCCAGCAACCAGAACTTCATCATTTTCCTGGAATAAAAACCAACAGTTTACTTCTGGTGTAAGTGGCAATCACTAAAAATACCCACTCATCCTATAAATTGGGGGGGGGGGGACACACCACTCCAGAAACAGAAGCTAACAGACTAAAACACTTACCTCGATAAAATTCAAACAACCATCATTGGGTACAAAGGCTGTGATTTTTTTGCCATTCTTGATTAGCTGAACCCTGACACACTTCCTGATGGCAGAATTTGGCTGTTTGGCTTCAACCCCTCTGAAATATAAACAGCATAACAGAGTCAACTGGCTTTCTGAAAAGGGGCACATTTTAATTCATTAAGCATAAAACTTATTAAATAGTAGTATTCCTACCTTTTCAACCCATTCCTAAATTGCTAAACTTCAACCAAGTTCTTCCGCAGAATGAAACTAATGAAACTAATTAGGACAATAGGGGAAACTCCTGGCCTCCTTATAGTTGTAAAATATGAACCAAGAACTAAAGCTAGAAAACCTGGATTCAAATCCTGACTGCCACTAAATTGGACAGGGACACATGAAATTATCATTTTGAAAATCTTAAAAAGAGTTGAGTACTGCCAAGTTCACGTGGCTCAATCTTTGCTGGATAACATCACTGAAGAAACTTCTTTATGTTAGTTTTCTCAAGTGGAAAGATCTGACTGCAAATATGAAGTATTTGATGGGTACAAACTGCTCAGAACAGTTTCCACACATATTAAGGTCTCATAATGTTCCTTATTTCATTATTGTTACTTTCTCCCCTCCAACGCCATCCCAATCCCTTCCAAACTAATGCGAAAAATTGAAAAACCATTGGGGCTTATCTAACCCTAGCCCTCATGTTACCAATTTTCCAACAAACGTGGCTACACAAAGACCTAGAATTTACATTAAACCTCTTCAAGCGCATTTATCTCGAGTTAACCACTAAAACACTGAAGGAAGCAGCAGAGGACTTATAACTCACACTTTTTCAAGCACAATTCCCTTTGCATGAGAAGCACCTCCAAAAGGGTTGGCCTTCAGGGCTGTGCCCAAATGGGCTTTTTTGTACTGTTTATCATGCCACTTCTGGTCTCGCCGGTGGCTGCGGAGCTTCCTGGCAGTACGAAGACCGCGACACTTCCCTAAAAATCAAAATCACCTTAGTTCCCCAGTGAAAACACCCAACCGTATTCTAACACCTCAGACACTAGTCTCACCTGGACTATACGCCAGTAGGCTCTGGCATCACATCTCGGCCCAGGGTCCGAACCTCCAAGTTCCCCTTGAACAAACTAAGACGTGGACACAAGCGCCCGGACAGCTGTGTCTTCCCAACGGAACGAAGCCCCGCGCCAACGCTCAGGAGAAGCGTCGCCCCCGCACCTACCCTCCCGGTCCCTCAGTAACTCCGGCTCCACGGCCTCTGCGCCGCATGGGCCCCTTCCCGCCGGGCCATGTGCCTGCGGCAGTGGCGCTCCCTGGCCCTCTCGTCAGTCCCCGGTACGGCTCTCCCGTACGGCTCTCCCTCACGGCTCTGCTCCTATCTGTCCGCCAGTCCCCGAAACCCCGCAGTTCCACCCCAGCCCCCTCAGCCCGGCCAGGGCCAGCTCACCCATCCTGCCGGCGCCACGAGCCTGAGCGAAAGAGAGAAGTCGCCCAGGAAGGAGCCACAAGCCACCGCGCGCGAGCAAGCCCCGCCCAGCCGAGGACCCGTGCGGCTGTCTGCGCAGCGCCTGGTCCGGCCGGCGCCTCTCGGTAGGAAGCGACAAGGCTGCACCACTTTCCAGAATCTGCGTCTTAATGAATTTGTGTGAAATCCAGAGCTATCTAATTTGTAGTATGGTTTATTTCTTTTTGTGTGAATGCTGCTGATGGAAGGAACCGGGACTACCAATCCCGGAAGCCTTTGCACGAGATCCGCTCCCGGCGCAGGCGCTCTGGGCAGACCCGCCGGGCGGGCTTCGTGGAGTCGGAGGGAGGGCTTCGTGGTGCCGGAGGGCGGGCGGATCGGCCCTCGGCGTCTGCGTCATGGAAGGTGGGCCTGCAGTTATAGTTTGGAAAATAAGACTTCGAAGCGTTAACTCTTACACACAAGAAGCATAGTAAATTGAAAACCATTTAGTGAAGCAAGGTGAAGTAGTATTTTAAAACCTAAGCATTTGTGAGAGACCCGGCCTTAAACCCTAAAGTTGCTGTTTTGGTTAGGGGACCTTGGGTGATTAATTTAATTAACTCTTTAAACCTCTGAAGAATGAAATAGATATGAAAGTTTTCTGGGATATTGGTTTATTCATAAACTTTAAAAGAAATGTCTTACCTGTGCTGGGCACGGCTTTAGGCATTGGAGATACAACAGTTAAGCGTGAAGTTTTCTGCTCTTAAGTTTATATTCTAGTTGTGAGAAGGTAGGAAATAAAGGTGCATTTAAAAATAAAAAAGGTGATTTTACTTACTGGTAAGTGCTATAGAGAACACTTAATAGTTGGTTAGGTGATAGTGACTCGGGGTGAGGGTGGCTAGTCTGGACAGGGTTGTGTTAGAAGATATCTCTGTGGAGATTACATTTGAGCTGAGGTCCTAAACAGAGGGAGCCATTCAGATAAGTGTGCAGGTAAAGCCTTCCAAGAAGAGGGATTCTGAACAAGTAGAATGGGCTGGCGCTTTCCAAGAGCTGAAGGGTCAGGGGAGGGGCTGCTGAGTGCTTGAGGAGTAGTGTGGCACTAGATGAGGTCTGGGAGGTACACAGGGACATGTAGAGCCTGTCCGCCATGGTAAAGGCTTTGTTTCCTCTTCCTGTGGTTGAATCTTTGGAAAGTTTTGAACAGGGGAACAACAGATAGGATTTATATTTTCATATGTTCACTCTGGCTGTTGTGAGGAGAAAGCTAAGGTGAATCCTTGAGGCCAGTTGGGAGGATGTTGTGATAGCTCAATTGGGAAATAATTATGGCTTAGAATCTCAGTCTAGGTGATAAAAAGTGGTTGTATCAGATACACAGTTTGATGGTAGAGCCAACAGGATTTGCTCAGGACTGTAGGGTGTAAGAGAGGAGTTAATTATGATTTTTGACCTGAGCAATTGGGTAGTTTGTGGTTTTATTTACTGAGTGGAAAATACTGGGAGGGGAGAAATTTAGAAGGGGAAATTAGAGTTCTGTTAGTGATGTGTTAAGTTTGAGATGCTTGTTAGACATACAGGTAGGGATGTGGGGTGGGTAGTTAGATATGTGGGTATGGAGTTCAAGAGAGTCATCAGTGAATAGATAACACTGAAAGCCACGGCTCTGAGTGAGATCATTTAGGGGATGACTGTAGCTAGAACACAGAAAGGTTGGAGGCCTAAGGCCTGGGCACACTGAAAGAGCAGCAGGTGAAGTAAAATAGACTGAAAAGGAATGGCCAGTGCTATGTTCTAACCAAAGCGAAGTGAACACAGTGGAAGTGAGCAAGTGTGAAAAAAGGAGTAGATGAGGACTGAAAATTACCTTTTAGGTTTGGCCATGTGGAGGTTACTGGTAACTTTGTCAAGAGGGGATCCCATGGAGTGGTGAAGATGTAAGCCTGATTGGGCTGGAGTCAACAGAATATAGGAGAGAAGGAAGTGGAGACAGCAATTATAGACCATTTTTTGCAAGGAGGTTTCGTATAAAGTTTAGAGAAAAGGGACCAAATCTAAAGGAGGTTGTGTCAGGATGCGTTTGTTTAAGATGGTATGTTTTATGGCATTTTTATATTGCTGATGGAATTGTTTCAGTAGAGAAGAAAAAATAGATAATTCATAGAGAAAAGGAATAATTACATGAGCAAATCCTCGAGTAGACTAGAGGGGTGCTCAAGTGGAGGAATTGACCTTAGGAATAGTAACAATTTATCTATAGTAATAGAGAAGGCAGAATATAGGGGTACAACTCCAAGTATATTCGAAGATTTGTTGATAGGAAAGTGTGGAACCCCTTTTGACTGCTCTTCACTCAATGAAATAAACAGGGGCATCAGTGAAGAGAAAGTAGGGAAAAGAGGTTTGAGTAGAGAGGGTAGGATGTGATAGCAGTGTTAGCATTAAATCTTACTATGTGCCACATACTATTTTAAGTGCCTTACGTTTATTAACTGCCTTAATTCTCATAACACTAAAAGATAAATACGTTTATTATCTCTGCTTTACTGAGGAATAGGGTCTTAGTCCATTTAGGCTGCTATAACAAAATACCATAGATGGGTGGCTTATAAAAAAAAACAAATTTATTTCTCACAGTTCTAGAAACTGAAAAGTTTAAAATCAAGGTGCTGCCAGGTTTGTTGTCTGGTGAGAACCCACTTCCTGGTTCAAAGACTTTGCTATAACCTCATATGGCAGAAGGACCAAGGAGGTTTGGGGTTGCTTTTTTTTTTTTTAATTGTTTTTATATGTCTTTTTCCAGTTTTATTGAAATTTAATTGACGTATTGAGATCTCTTTTTAAGAGTACTAATCTCATTCGTGAGGGCACCACCCTCAATCTAATCACCTCCCAAAGTCTCCCCTTCTACTACTAATGCCATCACATTGGGGATTAAGAGTTTTGTCTCCTAATTTAGCAGTGTGGGAAGATTGACAAGAGAATGTAGGATTGTTGACCAGTTCTGAGGGCCCATTTGAAATTAGTTATCCAGTTACATCAGTTAGCATGATTTTGTGTATTTTCTTTAGACTCATTCAGTGTAGTGACTGAATAGGTAGAGAGTTGGATTTTAACAGGGCTGGAGGTGGAATCTAGTCAGGTGAATGTGAAAGAGGAAAGACAAAAGACAAGAGAATTGAGAGTAGTTACAAGGAAAGGATTACAGTGAACCATGAGACTGAAGCTGGAGAAATAAGGAGCCAGGGGTAGGCAAAACACTTCTGAAGGCCTGACCATACCAGACAGGAGAAATTTCTGTGAAGCTAAGTAAGATAATGCAGCATTAGTACAGAAGTAGATAAATTGACTAATGAATAGAGAGTTCAGCAAAAGACTCATATGAGTATAGAATATTTAAATGACAGAATTAGATGTCAGATCAATGTGTAAAGGAAGGATTGTTGAACACATGGAGCTGCACAAAAAGTGGTTATCCAAATTAAATTGGATGACCATCTCAGGCTGAAAATAAAAATCAACTCCAGACATATTGAGAGCCTGAATGTCACCAATTAAAATTTTAAATTCTTAATAGAAAACAAAGGTGAATATCTTCTTGAACTTGGGAAAGGAAGATATTTCTAAAGAAAAAGAATGATAAATTTGACCAGATTAAGAACTTCTGTTCAACAAAAATGCCTGAAAGAAAGCAAAAGGACAAGTTAGAAACTAAGTGAATATTCATAGGAAGTGGTCGTAAAGTTGGAATGATTCATTCCTTGAAAGCTTAGTAAAACATCCTATAAAACCATCTGAGCCTGCTGGTGTTTTTGTTTGTTTGTTTTGTGGGAAGATTATTAATCCCAGCCTAAATCTCTTTAATTAGTTACAGAACCTTTCAGAGAACTGCAATTTCTTCTTGAGCCAGATCTGGTAAGTCATTTTTTTGAGTTTGTGTATTCCATCTAACTTTTCAAAATTGTTTTGTGAAGCTGTTATGACATTCTGTTTTGCATATATGTTTGTATATATTTGTTGTTGGAAGGTTTTTAACTGTGAATTCAATTTCTTTGTAAATATAGTAGTATATAGGTTATTTATTTCTTCTTGGGTGAGCTTTGGTAATGTGTGCCTTTCAAGGAAGTTTTTCATTTTATCTAAGTTGTCAAATTTATGGGCATAAAGTTGTTTATAATATTCCTTTTTAATCTTTTTAATATCTATAGAGTGATGTCTCATCTTTTGTTCCTGATATTGATAAGTTGTGTCTTCTCTTTTTTTCTTGGTCAGCCAAAAGTTTGTTAATCTTACTGATCTCTTCAAAGAACCAGCTTTGGGTTTCACTGATTTTCTCTATTGTTTTTCTGTTTTCAATTTCATTGATTTCTGGTATTATCTTTATTATTCACTTTCTTCTGTTTGTTTTGGATTTAAATTTGTTCTTCTTTTATTAGTTTCTTAAAGTGGAAGCTTAGGTCATTGATTTGAGACCTTTGTTCTTTCCTAATATATTTAATGGTACGACTATCCCTCTAAGAGCTGCATACCATGAGTTTTGGTATGTTGTATTTTAGTTTTAATTCAATTCAAAACATTTGCTAATTTCCATTTTTTTTTCCTTTTTGAATCATGGATTATTTAGAATTGTGTTACTTAATATTCAAATATTTGGAGATTTTTTTCCAAATAGCTATATGATTCATTTCTAGTTTAATTCCATTATGGTCTAAGAACATCCTTTTTTTGATTTCAGTATTTTAAAAATGTGTTGAGGTTTGCTTTTTGGCCCAGAATATAGTCATTCTTGGTGAATTCTTCATGTACACTTAAAAAGAAAGTATATTTTGCTGTTGTTGGGAAAAATGCATTATAAATGTTAATTAGCCCAAGGTGGTTGATAGTGCTGTCAGGTCTTCTGTATCCTGTATTCAGGATAATAGTGACAGTATGTGGAGAGAGTGGGGATCACAGTTGGATGTTGGGTTATGGTTTACTTTGGGTTTAATTATTATATCATTAAAAACAAACAAAGCATGAACTGATGGACAGAGTGTGTTATGAACTAAGGGTTTTGATTACTATAGCTATGAAAAAAATTTTTTAAGGATTTAATTTTTGTTTTTGGAGCTTTGAAATTTTTACTTCCTGATAAAGAACTTATTACTTAATTTGGAGCCTGAAAGGAGACAGAATTTCCTGTAACACTAGGCCCTAAGCTTTCTAAAAGGGTCCCCAAAGAAAAATGAGCTTGAGGAATTAGAGGAAAAGAAAGAAAGCTTCCATGGTTGAAAGATAGTGAGCCAGTGGGAAAATAGAGGTCGGTGAAGTTGGAGGGATGGGCAGGACCAGCTCATGTCCAACCTGTAGGCCAGAATAAGGAATTTGGGTTTATTTTGAGTGTGATGAGAAGCCATTGGAGGGCTTCAAGTGAAAGAGTGACAAGATCTGATTTACATTTTAAAAATATCACTATGTCTGCTATAGAAGGGCATCATAGAGGGGCAGGAGAGGACCTAAGTTATCCAAGGAGAGGGCTGTTAAATTAGAACAATTGAGAGATCATAGGTAGTAGCATTGGAGATGGAGAGATTTAAGATTCAGGGTATAATTTGGAGTTAGGTCATGTTGGAAAGAGCAAAATCAGTGACATCATAATTATCATCATCACACCGCCACCATCTCTATCAGGTATGGAGTGCTATTTAGGTGCCAGGCTTAGGACTTCATATGCATGATTTCTTTTAACCCTCAGAACAACTCCTATGTGGCAGGTGCTGTTATTATCCCCATTTCACAATGAGTAAGTTGAGACTTGAAGAAGTTAAATTGCTTAACCAGAACATGTTTGTTAGTTTCCAGATTTGTTATCAGAATTTTGATTTTTAAGGAGTTTAAAAAAATTTGTAAATAAATATTAAGTAAATAAGGCATAAAATTGTTGGGCAATGATTTTCTAGCCAGTAAAACACCAAACTAAGGAGCGTAGTTGTTAAGATGAAAGTATTCTTATAAGTTGATATCCATGGTTCCTAGAGGTATATGAAACCTGATAGACTGTCACTAAAGAATACCATTTGGTAGTTGTTGAAATACCAGACAGGGGAGTAGGGGGAGGAAGGAGAACACATTTTTCTCTTTCCTAGTATTTCCTTCCAAGTAGAAGGAGTTACATTAGTGTAACTCCTTATTTCTCTGCCAATTTATTCATTCCATGACAGGCAAGTAAAGGTGGCGTCTGTGGTAAATATTGGAAAAATAGTCTAGGCATGTTCATCTCTTCCTTTTTTCCTTTTTGGAGTCCAGCCTGCCCGTGGGGCACATGTTTTCTCAGGTTTCTTCTGGGCAGGCCCCTCTTCTCTTGGAGAGCCCAGTGCTGCTGTGACAGGCTGCCATGCCTGTCTTCTGAGGAGAGGGGCTCGCTTACAATCCATTTTGCTCCTGCACTGAATTCTGTCCTCCACCCTGGCCTTTCATAGGCATAAAAGTGGTATTTGGGCCTCTGCTTGTCTTACCCCTTGTGGTTATTTCTCAGTTGATTTAGCATTCAGGTGGGGCAGAAGGGTATTATTACTTGACTTCTCTTGGAGACACCCCCTCATCCCCCAACTAAGAAGAAAAATTGATCTTCATGAATTAGATCAGTTGATAAGGAGATTTAGGTCAAGGGTGATGCTGATTCTTTGTACTGTATGGGAGAGAAGTTAACTTTGGGGAAGAATGGCCAAGGATTTTAACAATGTTGATAGTTGATACTGGAGCATTTAGAATGGTTAGAAGTTATTCCTAGTGCTTTACCTATAAAAATTGAGGTATTAGTTGCTATGGAAATGTGACAAGTTAAAATAATAGGTTTAAATGGGAAAGAAGAAGCAGTAAAATCAATGCTTATATGCTTTGTATAATTACTCGTGATGAATGCTGAGTGCTTCATTTACCTGATTAAATTATTAAACACAACTTTTGCTTTATCCAAAATGAATGATATTTCTTCTCCTTTCATTCTAGCTACTTTTTGGTGTAGTGATTATTTCTTCTCATATCTATCCTGTGGAACTAAAGAAATATGTGTATTGCTCTATAATCTTACTAATATACAGTCCTGATCTTTAAAATCGTGTTATTTAATTAAACCTCTGCGTAGGTTCGAGGGGGAATTAACATGTTCTTTGATTCCCTTTGTGAAGTTCCTGGGAGGGAGTTATGTTAATTGCGTATTAAAAGTTATTCTCCAGGTGTTCTTTAACTTGGCCGAGAACCAAACAAAAGAAAATTGGTCTCTATTTCAACAGGGATCTTTGAATTATAAGAAATGAAAGATAATTCTTCTTACTAGGAAAAAAAAATTTTCGTTACTCAATGAAGCATTAAGCTTTAGAATCTCATTCCCTGGAGAGGTTTAAGAATCTGGTAGAGGGGTCAGATCTGTGCTGTCTGAGTTCAGTGGGGACTAGTTAGTCTTAGTAATGGGGAATGGCCAGTGTCACTCTCAGCCTTTGCTTTCCACAGTAAAATGAAGATTCACCAGGATTATTTCTAGATTGTTTAAATGTAATAATATGTAAATTATTACAATATATAAATATAAAACTCCTATAAAAGTAAATGTGCAGTATTTTGAGCATTTTATATTACTAAGGCTTTATTGCTTAAAAGACTGTAAAGTAAAACAGTATTTTTTCCCATAAATTGAAAGAAAAAAGAACAAGAGAGAAAAAGAAGGAATGAGAAAAAGGAAGGGAGGAAGAAAAGAAGTGAAGGGTTCTAGGTTTATATAGCTTCATGAAGGACAGAGGTAATTTTTTCTCTGATCGAAAACATTAAATTTTTATTCAGAGAATCGACTTTGCTCTTATAAAAATGGTGGCCTAAACTATAGGGCAACATCAAATGGCACATGTCCTCAATATGAGTTTTATTTTACTGAATTAAAACTCTGATTCCTTTCTCTGTTGAGGTGGGGACTCTGCAGGTGCCTGGTGAAAGCATTTTTGAGTAGTGGAGGCCTTTTCTTCCCTTGGAAATCTGCTTCAACTCTTCAAGAGTGAGTTATGACTCATCTCTTGTCTCCTTTTCTGTTATATAGCAGCCTCTCTCTATGCCTCATCTAATCAGCCATTGCTTATAGTGAAGGTGGGGCTGATCTCAGAGAAGGTCTCTGGTTTGCTAATTGAAACATCCCCCAAAATTGTTTACCCCAGCAATTACGTGTTCACATTTCTGCATGTCGCTGGGCTGGGAGCTTCTTGGGGGCGAGAACTAGATCTTTTTACCGTGTATTCCTGGCATCTAGCACATGACAATCAATGTTTGTCTAATAGACAGACTTATGTAAGAGCAAGCCTCCTGTTTCAGTTTAGCTTGAAAAATGAGAATGTAAAACATGTGCCACTAATTTGACATTTTATCCATGTTCCAAAAAGTCAATGGAGAATCTAAAGTGAGAAACATTAACATTTAAATCCAAAGCATTTAAAAGTATTTCATTTACTAACCTGATTCTAATCAACTGAGAAGTTAATTTGATGAAAATTGGTAGAAATCATGGGAGCAATTAGGCTCTGAACTTGATAAAGAGTCTGTATTAGTCTGGATATTCCAGAGAAAACCAATATGAATATGGTTCATATGCATATGAATATATGATTTATTAAGAAATTGGCTCATGCAGTTATAGAGGCTGAGAAGTTCCAAAATCTGCAGTCAGCAAGCTGGAGACCCAGAAGAGAGGGTGTAATAGTTTCAGTTATAGAGTCTGAAGGCAGGAAGACTGATATCCTTGCTCCAAGACAGGTAGAGAAAGTGAAATCTCCCTTACTCTGCCTTTTTTTTTGGTCAGTGAAGGTACTGGGGATTAAACCCAGGACCTCGTGCATGCTAAGCATGTGCTCTACCACTGAGCTGTTACTCTCCCACATTCCACCTTTTTGTTCTATTTGGAATTTCAGTGGTTTGGATGAGGACCACTAACATTGGAAAGGGCAATCTGATTTACTCAGTCTACCGATTCAGATGTTCATCTCATTCAGAAACTGCCTGAGAGACATACCCAGAATAATGTTTATCCAAATATCTGGGCTCCTCATAGCCCAGTCAGATTGTGTCATACTCCTCCACAAGGAGCAAGAAGTGCATACATATTATGATAATTTGCTAGTAAACTGATAGAACGGGTTTTTGGCCATTTGCATTTTCAAGCTACTGAATTCAATGAAATACTTGAATTAGTTGATTTTCTGGTTACAGTTGCCTAAATATTCAGGCCCTGGGAGTCACAACCATGTGACATGAAGTGGGAATTAATTATGTGACTTTTTTGAAAAGTTTATTCATTATTCTGTACATTTTATTTAGCACTGACTTTGACCAGCAGCATCTTGGGCTCTAGGTGTACTTGAGTTAATTAGACACGGTCCCTGCCCTCATGGAGCAGACCTTCTGGTGAGGAAATGCACCATAAATAAGTAACAAGAAAGTAAATACCTCAGTACAAACTGTGGTGTGTGTTATAATGAGAGTGAACAGAAGGCAGGGAGAGCCAAAGGGGTATGAGGTGATCCCCACAGAGGGAACAACATGTGCAGAGTCACTGAGGTGCAAAAAAGCTTGGCAGTGGAGGGTGTTGAGAAGCTGGGTGCAAGCCAGTGTGCTGGAGCATGGTGTGGGGAAGGGCGGCCATAAATGAGTTGAGAGAGACCAGCAAGGGCCAGGTCATGCAGGCTTTGTAAGAGGTGCATGGATTTGGAATTTGAATCAGTGTGCAAAGACCGCTGTAATTAATTTGAATATTTGACTAATGTCATTTTCAGTCTGAGAGCACTTGGATGAATAGAGACTGTGATCTGACATGTGCTAGATGCTTCTTAAGGTAAATATTAGAATTAATGTAGATCCATTTTTTTCCCATAAGAACTCAATTCCATATGGCCATATATGATTATGGGAAGATAGATTTTTGATATTCAAATTTTCAGGTAGCATTTCATTTAGTAATGTATAGTAAATCAGAAGATGAAGCAAATCCAAAATATTTTCAGTTGAAAAGAAGGTGGCATGGATGTACAACTTCCTGTTCTCTCATGGAAAATTTTAAGAGGGTATTTTTCATGCTCTTCTACATTTTCTGTTTATCTTGTAAGTCACTAACTGCTCTTTGTTCTGGAATATCTTTAGGATGTTTCTATAGCCAATAGCCTAGAAAGGTAGAAATAGTGCCCTCCTCTTTAGCAAAGGGAAAGTTTGTTTATAGTCTTGGAAACTCAGGGTCCCTCTCCTGAAATGAAATCCACTGTGTGTGCAAGCATCCATCTGGGCCCACCCATATTGCTTTAGGGGAGGTGACACAAGTGGACTGATGCTCGTAGTGCTTGCTATGTGGTGAATAATAAACTAAGTCCTTTGTCTCCAGTCCATGAGTATTGTCTTCTGGAAGCATCCATGAAACCATGGCAGGCTAACTCGTTAGCTTACAAGTTGGTTAAAATCTTAGACCTTCATGGTTTTGGACACAGACCCTTCAGCCATCTGAGCAGGCAAGTACAATTCCAGGCAGGTGATACCCTGTGCTTTGCAGCCTGCAAGCTATCATATTAGCATTTTTTGTCATTGCTTTTCTCCTCCGAAGTCACAAGATGAACTATTCTCAGACAATCACATTTTAAATGTGACTTCTATTCTAAAATACATGTGTGAAACCTACTAGCTACTAATTATTCTGCCTTAAATATTCTTATTCAAGTGAGAGAAAATTTCAACAGCAGAAGGAATACTATATTAAAAATTTAAGACCATCAAGTCATAAAATATATTGAAATGATACTTGATTTAAATAAAAAATTTTGTATATGTGTGTGTGCCTGAAAATATAACTGAAGCATACCTCCAAAAAAGAGTTTTATGTGATAAACACTAAGGGATTAATATAGTTTCAGAGTGTTCACAGAACCATTTTGATTACAGTCCAAGATCATCATGGGCTTGAGCTCTCACCTCCTCCTGATCAGGAGTGTGAGGACAGGGTGATCAGATACTACTTCTGCTAGCATAGGAGACTGTGAGCAGCTGGAGGAGATATTCTTTATTTGCACTGTTCAGTACAGTGGCCCCTAGCCACATGTGGTTACTGAGCACTTGAAATTTTGGTTAGTCTGAATTGAGATATGTATAAGTGTAAATTATACATCAGGTTTCAGACTTAGGGCAGAAAAGGAAGGTAAAATATTAATAATTAAAAAAATACTTATGTTTGAAATAATATTTTAGATATATTAGGTTAAATAAAATAGATTATTAAAACTAATTTCACCTGTTTATTTTCAGTTCTTTTAATGTGGCTACTAGACAATTTACAATTACATATTTAGCTGTTATGTTATTTCTGTTGAACAGTGCTGTTCTAGATCCTTACTACTCACAGGGAGTCCTCAGGCAAGCAGCGTCAGCATCATCTGGAAGCTTGTTAGAAACAAAGAAGCCCATTCCCCACCCAGACCTACTGAATCAGAATTTACATTTTAAGAAAATCTCATGTGATTTGTATACAGGTTAAAATTTGAGTAGCAGAGAATCCCTAAGACTAGGATTGCCAGATTTATTAAATAAAAATACAAGATATCCAGTGGAATATAGTTTTCAGATAAACAACAAATGATTTTTTAGCATAGTATGTCCCAAATACTGCGTTGGACATACTTATTAATAAAATTATTTGTTGTTTATCTGAAGTTCACATTTAACTGAATGTCCTGAATTCTATTTGGCAACGCTGCCCAAGACTGAACTCCTCTTGTCCAGACCTGAAGACCTCTTGTCTTGCTGCTTGAAATTCTGCAGAATCAGGAAGAGGACAGAAAGGTAGAGATGAGGGGTGGAAGTTGGGTAAAATGAAAGAACAGAGAGGAAAGGGAAATATGCTGGAAAGTAGGAGTTAAGAATGGGAATGGACAGACTTTTTTTTTTTAACAATTTTTATTAGTAACTTTCTTCCTTATGTTTGTTTTCTCCTACTTCTCCCAGTCATTGTGCTTTTATTTTCTCATTTCTACAGGGTTCCCTAGAACCATGTTAGAAGATGGTATGTGTGCAAGGTACACAGTGAGGAAGGGGAAGTGTTTCATCAAGGTCAAGTCCCCAGGCTTCCTACAATCCATCATCTCTGAAATGCCACTTACAAATAGTCCCTTTCAGCTACTGGTACTTTGCCATTGAAGAGATTGAGGTTCTTGAAAAATACTAACACTTTCATTTTGGAGGATTTTCTTTATTATAGCATTTTAATTATATGTTTTTATATAAAACAACTTTTAGGAATTTTCTTTTAATGCTCTTCAGGTGTAGGGGTCGGAGTAGAGTCTGGCAAAGAAGGAATAACAATAGATATTCTTTATTTAGCTAGGCATTGGAGTAAGAAAGACTTTCATCTATGTTATTTATTTATTTAAACTTTTATTTTATGGTGGTAAAAACAGTTAACATGAGATCCACTCTAACTAATTTTTCAGTGTATGCTACAGTATTGTTAAATATAGATACAATCATGTACAGCAGATCTCTGGAATTTATTAATCTTGCTTAACTGAAACTTTATGCCACTTGATTAGCAACTCCCATTTTCTCCTCCCTCAGCCGCTGGCAACCACCTTTCCACTCTCTGATTCTATGAATTTGCCTATTTTACATACCTCATGTAAATGGAATCATGTAGTATTTATGACTGACTTCTTTCACTTAGCATAGTGTCCACAGATTTCATCCATGTTGTCACATATTGCAGAATTCACTTTTTTTAAGGCTGAATAGTATTTCGTTGTATGTCACATATTCTTTACCCACTCATCCATCCACAGACACTTTGGTTGTTTCTATATCTTGGCTATAGTGAATAGTGCTGCAGTGAACATTAGAGTGCTAATATCTCTTTGAGATCCTGATTTCAATTCTTTTAGATAATTATTCATAAATGTGATTGGTGGATTATATGGTAGTTCTATTTGTAATTTTTTGAGCTATCTGCATGTTGTTTTCCATAGCAGCTGCACCATTTTG